GCCTCGAGGCGGACGTCGCCATCTTCCTCCCCCGCCATACCGTTGACGAGGGTGTATACCTGTGCGCCATCGTCTACGGTAGGCACACCATGGATCAGGTCGACGCCCGGCGTCGCCGTCACTTCTGTACAGAGGTGCTATGTCTCGGTGAGACCAGGGTGAACACGCATTCCGCGTCGTTTAATGTCACCCTCACTGTTCGCTCCTTTGGAGCTCCGATGTTATCTACGACATCTGACGAAGAGCTGCTATCCCCGCGGTCTTCTTCCAGTGGATAACGTGCCACTCTACGCGCATCTGAAGGGCTGTGCCCAAGATGCCTCGGACTTTGTCTGACCACGCCATCAACGGCATCCAGCGACTATTTTGCAACGATAGCAGTGCTAAGTGGTTTACGTGCCACTTCACGTGCATCACGGGAACCTCGCCCTCGATGCCTCGGCCCTTGGCCGACCATGTCACGCATGACATGCAGCAACTGCTTTGTTACTCGAGGAGTGCTCAGTGGTTTACGTACCACTTTACGCACATCTGAAGGGCAGTGCCCAAGATGCCTCGGACTCTGTCCGACCATGTCACGCATGACATGCAGCGGCTGCTCCGAAACTTGAGCAGCGCTCAGTGAGTTACGTACCACTCCACGATCAGCTCGCGAGCGACGCTCGGGACACCTGTCCAATACACCGTTGGTGTCTACTAACTCGGACAATCCAATGTCTAGCACGTTGACCGTATCGGTCGAGTACTCTCCCAATAGCGCTTTCATCACCTAGCAGAGGTGGGTTCTTGACTCGCCAAAGCTCCACCAAGAGACGTGCGAGTAGCGCCCAAGGTCTTTGACCCCCAATCAATCCATGGCTCATGGTGTTCCAACCATGCCACCTAGAGTAAGGTCATACCTTGCATCCAAATATAAATCTTGACAGCGTTCCACGCTATCAAAGTCAAGAAACTTGACTCCGAGGTCCACAGAAACCTTCGAGACTGTGACACGTGTCCTCGTCGCTAAGCGAACAGTGACGATGTCACCCAACCGCATTATCAGCACCTCAGCATACAGCTGACTTCCTTTCATCGTGGAGCGTCGAGCATAATTGCCCGGCACTCCGGAATCGATGAGGAATTTCCGTGGCTTCTCGAAGCCCTATACGGTCGCTTCCACGACCAGCAAGCCCGGCTCGCATATACATTCCATTTTCAAGAGCACGGAGCTCTTCGGGGATGGGCCCTGTTGACCAATGCCTCCCGGAGGCTCAACAAAACTCAGTTCTTCCCGAGTAGGTCGGCGTTAGGGCGATGGTTCGAAGAACCTTGACGCGCCTTGCGCATGGGGCAACCGTTCCGCGGATGACGGGTGTCTCCACAGATGATACCGCCGTGTGTTTGTGTGCTTCCCTTGCAACTTGAAGCTCTGCTCTCTCGTCTTTAGCATAGCTGAGATCCATGGACACAGACCCGCTCGATGAGCTGTTGGAGTGTGCATTTCAACCAAGTTGTGCCGACTTGAAATTGAATTCGGCATTCAATTCCACATTTACCGCCACTTTAAACAAGAACGGATGCACAAGGAAGACTTTCATTCTGGCCACGCAAGTGCGAGGGTCAATGAGGATGAGCATCTCTTGGACAAAGTCCACCCTGTTACCCTGTCGGGCGGCAAGGAAACGCGATCGTACGTGGTATGTCTGATTAGGCGGCGAGAACACTCGTGAGAGCTGCAATTTCAGCTCCGCCCAGGAGGGAAACGCAGCTTCGAACGAAGTGCCGCATCAGTGCCTATTCTTGTGCTCGACCACCGAGCTTTGGGATGGCTAGCGCTACGCGCTGTTGATCGGTCTGTAGCATGGTGGATGCGATGGTCATCTCAATCTCTATCACCCAGAGCAGGAGATTCACTCCATCCTCTCCCATAAAGATCTTAACGCTCATCATGAGCGGCTTAGAGCGGGAAAATCATCCGTCACCGACGGTGGCGTCGAAGACGCAAATAATGCAGACATCTTCTGCTACAGGTGCTCTAGTAGCGCGATTTCGTAACTTGAAAACGCCTTTAGACGCGCACCGATTGCCTCGGGACCTTGCGGCGTGTTGCACGCCCTCAGGGCCAAGCAAGAACATTAGCTTGTTAAGCCCATTCTGCATGCCATGTAGCAAAGAGGAGAACTCCTTTATCCTTACAGAGGATCGTTCGTAACGACTTGATGTAGATTGACTCCGAGTGCTACCATGTGCAACGGGACTGCCGTAGCTTAGCGCTTGAGGAAGCGTAACTTAGGTCACCGACCTATTGTTCTATACATAGAACAAGTGCGAGTTACCGGATCGCAATCCGCTTACTCCAAGAGTAATTATTGCCTAACCCAAGGCTAATTACTCTTTCGTTTAAAATTCAAAACTGATTTTTATTGTTTTATCCTAATTTTAAAAGTTTAGATGTTTCTAAATATACTTATGTATATAGTATAATCTAAATACATGCATAACTACTGGCTACCCAAGCACATACCGTATTCTTGTTTGGTGCAGTCACACCATGCACATCTCGTGTGACACACCCCTGTTAGTTATGCTGCTAAAGTTAATGCTTGCACTAAGTCATAAGTTATGGTGACTGGCTCAAGTGGTTTAGCATCGTGATGCTAAACTGAAAA